TCTGGCAATCAGTGGCTCAGGAGTTGGGTTGGATGAATGAAGCGATGGCATTTTTTTTTCCTTTTTAAATCTTAATAAAAACAGTACAAGATGACGGTGTATCCAAACTACTTTTAAGGACTAAAGTGGGTGGGACGTGAGATAAATTTTAAAAAGAGGCAAACGATTAAGTAGGGCCCAATGTTGTAGCCATATCAGAATTAATTGTTAAGAGTTAACATCAGAATTAGGAAGTACTGTCATTGGCCACTTGTATGGCGATACACTTCCATCGCAAATTCTTTTGAACCAATGCTTTTTAGGAACAGACAATTTATGCATGATATATCCACACTATTTTGCCAGTTAATTAATTACCAAAGACGACAACTTTAGATCTGATCTTTTGAGAGAGATAATGACAAGAATTATAACCATATAATTGGATTTTCATTGGTGTAATTCTGGGTCAAAACTTGTAGGCAAAAAAAGCATCGTCATGTACTACAAATAATTACAGTTTAAGTGTTTGCTTAGCAGTATCAAATTTCCATCTAATCCACCAAGGTCTACAATCATTCATCAACTAGCAAGTATAGCACGAATGGGAATTCAAAGCAAGAGCTTTACTGATATATATTAATTACTTAAGCATTAAGATAGTTATTAGCATCTATATAAATATTTAATGGTGGTCGAATAATATTTTGGAAGAAAACTTGAGTTAGCGCAATCCTTGGTCATAAAATATAATATGCGCAACAGACATGACTGCTAATCACAGAGCATTCCTTAGCTATATACATGACATATAGCAAAGGTCCCCGGTAACCTTTTTGAACATTGAATTTTTTCTCTTATTTCTTTCTATTTTTTTGCGTATATATATTTTTTTATTGAGTAAATATTATTAATTACTCACGGAATAACATAAAATTTCTTCTTCTAAATGACATTTATTAAGGACTTATGAAATCATTTTTATTGATCCCTAGGATTTAATTAACTAGAAGTGTGAAAAGAAACAAAAATGTGTCTGGATTTAAAAAAAGAAAAGAAAAGAAAAGAAAAGAAAAAAAGAGTCCTTGTTCTAGAGATTGGTCAAACGTGTCGTTCCATATCTGTCTTTATTTTCTGTCCATGTGAAGACATGGATGTTGCTTAATCATTGCAGGATCCAGTTTATATAGAATCATTACAGAGCTGTGTTTGAATGAAATTAGTGCTTCTCTACGCAAAATTCCAATAACTTTGATGTGGTAGATGATGTAACGAAAGAGCAAAGCCTATAATCATTCACCCCATTAAGGAGATCTTTATCCCCGTACAAGATCAAAACTGCCAAGATTGAAAATAATTAGATGAATAAGATACATTGGAGCATACACATGCCTTAAGTAATCACTAATTAATCATGTTTCATCTTTGTAATTAACTTTTATAACTAGTTCCCTCACTCCTATAATTGAGAAAGTTGACAGGCACAGATAACTACTGATATTGGTCACTGATGTAGTTGCGCACAAACATACTAAATAAGAGACGACGGTGAAAGATTTTATTTTATTTTATTCTTCAATTGGAGACCCATTAGTTTGTTTCTGCCATGAGCGAAAACACCACATAGTACAGAAAACTGTTGTTTTCAGTTAAATCTTGAGTGATTTTTCCAATTATATTTTTATAAGTCTTTGGTTTAAATACGTGGATTTAATTCCTTAATTATTGCAATTAAAAATTTAATCGCACTCGGTTATGCTTTTCCATTGGAAATTTCCAATCGAAAATCAGTAGGATTTTGGTAGTTCGAGCTTTCGTTAGGCTCGGCACCAGACTGGCATATAATTTATGTTTCGAAATATATAATATATAAAATCCTTATTGAATCAATTTTCGCTCATTTCAAAACCGTTAAAACATAAGTACGTTTTATTTGTTGATTTTTTTTTAATATATAATTAGCTCATAACTTTACCAATTTTTGAATCAAAAGTGCACCATTATTAATACACGTGCCCACATAATTTTTCGATATTGTAAAAGATATTTAAATTAATTTTATTTGTATATTTGTAATTTCATAATCAAATAAACAGAGTACAAAATAATATATAACAAAATCAGAAGAGAGTTAGCACATATGTAGGTCCAACGACATCACATTGGTCTATGGCCTGTGGGTAATGCGAGACTAAAGCAGCAATAGATCGTGAGCCGACGTAAAACTTGAGCGTGACAAAAGTAAGCAGTGCTCCCTACTTGTAGCTAATTTTCAAAACTTCTCCTTCTTAGACCAATGTACGTTTTTTTTTAAAGGGATGAATTATCAATGTCAATATTGGATTGATTAAAATATTTGTTTGAGAACAAAAAGAAAGTATCTTGCACGTACTAATCACTCTTTGAATAACAACTTAAGTTAATCCTTCTCTTTATCTATAATTTGAAAAAAAAAAAAAAAGAAAAGAAAAAGAATAAAACCTCTCTCTCTCTCTTTCTCTTTATTTTTGGCATTCTATTTGTTTATTTTTATTTTTTTTCTGAAAAAAGAAGAAGCAATGTGTGATTTCCAAAACGGGTTTCTAGAAATGACCAAGAATCTAACCCATTACATGATTGAGCACATGTGGAAGAACGTGAGGACTGAAAGGACCAGCAACAGAAGAGGGTAGCATAGATTGGAATCTGAGAGACTCATCAGGGAGAGAGAAAGAGAGAGTGAAAGAAGTAACAACAATGACATCTCAAAAGCGAAAGCTGCCATGGAAACAGAGAGAACATACTCACGCCTAACATATACATGACATGTGGCATCACAAAAACGTAAATACTACATGCCTTTGGATTTCCGAGCTCCTTCCTCAAACCTTCTTCTTCTTCTTCTTTCTTTATTTTCAATGCTTTCTTTTTCTCCTTTGGCTACATCCTCACCTAGTCACATTTCTATCCACAATTTTTGGATCAGTATTTCATCAATCATCAATACCTCAAAACCAACCGACCAAAAAAACCCCATATCCTCGAGCGCTATTTCACTCTCACGAGAGAGAGAGAGAGAGAGAGAGAGATTTGCTTTTTTAACAGATTAGGGATAGCTTTATTCCTTGTTGGTAAATAGCCTTGGTTACTGCAAAAGCAGATCCAAATCCCAGATTCCAATATTCTCTTATACTAAGATGCAAACCCAACAACGATTATCAATAATGACAATCATAATCCCCATAAAACACGGTTGAGAAGAGCAGCATGAGATTATAGACATTATGTTTGTGTGTGTGTGCATATATATATATATATATTTGTTTGAATATTGTAGGGTACTATGGTTATGCTTACCATAGGGTTAATAAAAGTAGCCAACAAAAATCAAACAAAAGTTGAAGAAGATCTAGCAGTTTTTGTACATTCTTGCATAACTTTTGACTTGTCTACAGGCTGTAGTCTTATGTTAGTTTTTGCCAACAAAATCTGAGAATCCTATACTAAATAGGGTGTCTATGCATGGATTTGAGTGGAATTTTGGCGTTTATTTAGCTTCTTCTTGTCCTACATATATATATATATATATATATAACTATCCATCTATCTCTTCCACTCTCAGTTTCTAACGGGCACAGATACAACAAATAAGTACTTCTCATGGTCAATCACCATAATTATATAATCATTTTCAGTCTCCACACAAAACAAACAAATAAGTACGTCCAAAACGATACTCTCCCCTTCTCTCTCTCTCTCTCCCTCTCTCTCTCTCTCTCTCTCACAATACTCACTCAGTCACTCACTTTTCTGTCAAAATCTAAAGAAGTTGAGGGCACAAAGTTTCATGTGTTCAACAACGGTTTTTCTTGGGCGAGCGAAAAATAACTTGCCCTAGGTAAAAATTCCTAAAAACGATAAAAGAACCAAGAGACATTTAGGAATTTGAAGTTGGCAAAATGGATGATTGAAGAACTGACGTTATTTTCAATTAATGAATGATTTAGTTCAAGTTCGTCGACCAAGGCACGGGAAAAAAATATCTTTAGGACCACGAAAGATAAATAAAGTGCAATCAATCCAATCCAAAAGTTGAGGCGAGTTTCCGTCATATGATTTTTTTTATTAAAATATTTTTTATATGAAATTCGCACAAATCCATTATTATTTTCAGTGAATTTAATATCAATTAAGGAAAAAAATGAGATGATATTTAGATTTTAACTCAAAAGTTTAAGCATTCAAATTAATCAGAATTGTTAGATGAGACTTTTTAGTATTACTCTCAAACAAAAACAGTTATAACATATCCATAATCACCAGAAAAGAGAACTCGCTCACTTAATTGTCCTTAAAAGGTCAAGAAGACACTAAATATTGTCTCTTAGTGTACGTGATTGTACTCTATTTTAGTGTTATCTGCATAATGGGCGCAAGAAGGAGAGTTACAGACTTGCAGGGTATGGAGACCTTTGTACATTTCATGAAAATAGTCAAGCTTGTCAAATTCTGAAGGTACTTTCACTTAACAAGAATATAGGCTGAAATCCTTGGATACTGAAGTCCGTTTTAGCAGTAAAGATAGGCTGGATAAAAGCAAACTTAATCCCGAGGACAAGGATTCATGGATTGGATGCAAATGACGCTGATCATCATCATAAAATAAGACAATGTACACATTGTTCTTCCAAAATGTGGAGATGATAAAAAAGAAAAAAGAAAAAATACTTTCTCATTTCAAAGAAGAAGCAAATTACGCAAATAAATTAAGGAAACAAATTTCACATATCATCTCAACGAAAATCCCTTAGTACACAGCATATATAGTCCAGTTATAATAATTTAAGACATTCATGTCAGATATCCAACTCCATGAAACTTATACCCTACTTTTGTAACATAATCTCATAGAATACAAGGAAAAGGTGCTAACATAAAAATAAACTTCAAGACTAGAAGCCTACCAGTTCTAGGTTCTTTAATTCGGTAGATGATGAATAGACAATTTCTTTGATCCATCCTTCACGTCGATCACATCAAAATCATAATAGATGGCTTGTAGAAGAAGTGAAACCAGGAAGATCAGTCCATGCATTATTGCCACTCCAGTATTGATCATTTCCTGAAATACCCAAGAAATTTCTTGACAAATTCAACCCTTGATTGTCTTCCATTTTGACTGAAGCTAGCTGAGTAACACCCGTGTCCAATATTGGCTTAGACCGAATCTGACCAGCATAATTTGATGGTTCAATCCCTCCACCCTCAAATGAATACAATCCACTTGGTGGTTCCGAATTAGATAAGAAAGGAAATTGCTGCACTTGTTGGAATCTCCACTGCTCAACAAGTCCACTGGATAAAATAGATCCACCAATACTATTTGAACTAGTACTGCTGCCAATTTGAAATTCTACGCCACCACCTCCACCAGCTGTTGCCCCAACTGAAGACGGAATTCCACCAAAATTTAACCCAATATCTGCGGACGTATAGTCACCAAGATGGTGTAAAGGTGGCAAAATTGGCAACTGTGGTGGTGGAGGAGTCATGTGCCCCATAATACCAGTAGTGCAACCATTAGAAGCAAGTCCACCACTTGAGCTAGATCCTGCTTTAACTGGAGATTTTGATCTACCACTTCCTTTGCTCCTTTTATTCCTTCTACAACCACCGCCAACTGGCACGTTCCTTAGGGCACCTCCTCTGGTCCAATATCGCCTGCAAGTCTTGCAAAAGTGGCGAGGCTGGGTGAGGCTATAATTATTGAAGTAACAGAATTTAGTATTTGTTGATTCACATCTCGGACATTTAAGGGCTGTCTCGGGTAGTGGAATCTTGGCTAGCCTGGCTCGATCAGTCATCGAGCCAGGCCTGATTGAGCCTGCGCTGCCACTACCATCGCCACCACCTGGAGGTGGTGCCGGCGGTTGGAGGAGTTGAGGGTTTTCATTCCCAGCTCTAGCTGGAGGTTGATTATTAGGTTGCTGCAAAATCAAAAGTGAAAAAAAAAAAAAACAAAAGAAAGAAATCAAATATTTAGTATATTCAAGAAGAGATAAAATAAAAAGTGTAGGATAGGAATATTATTTATCTTTTGAATTGCTTTATTGGAGAGGAAGCTAGCTATATAGTTGCAATTAGTAGAAAGAAACTAAGAGGGGAAAATACTACCTGCTGCCAGTTGGGTGGATCTAGATAGACTGGAATGGATGAGAAGACCATGGTGCTTGAGCTTTAATTCTCTCTTTTGTAAAGGTTGATAGGAGTTTTTTTTTGGAGGGAGGGGAGAGGTGGAGATATGGTGGAGAATCACATCAAGAGAGGAGAGTTGCAGAGAGAAAGGGAAGGAGATGGAAAGATAAAGGAGGGGTCTGTGTGTTTATTTATTTTGTTCTTTGTTCTTTAACCATCTCCCTCCACAAAATTCTCTCTTTTTGTTTTATTAAATTTCATAAAAGTTAGGGTTTGAAAGGAATGAAATGCATAATTTTCGTATCTTAACTTCTACGCTTCTTTTGATACTATACGTTTTTATTTACTTTGTCCCTCTGGCCTCATATGTAAAGTGATTAGTGGCCATGCAGAGAGTAGTAGTGAGTTTATTTCTAGTAGTAGTGAAGTTTAGTATTTTATATTATTGTTCGTTAAATAAAATAAATATTAAGAGAATTAAAAAAAGCTAGGAAAAGCAAGTTTTGGTAAGGGCATCCTTGGTGGAAGTGTCCCTATCGAATTGACCTTTTTTCTTCGTTTCTCCCCTGTGTTTTTTGTTTATTATTATTTATTTTATTCTAATATTATTTTTGCATGGAAAATTTGTAGTAGTTTTTATATTATTATTATTATTTTGTTTCTTTGCCAAGATTATTATCATGATGTAAGGTTTTATACGCTCTCTATGCTTTTCGAATTTTACCATTCACATTCAACTATCCTAAGGGACAAATGTTGGCTCGCAAGCCCGGCCAACTCTATAGTATGTTTTGCCAAGATGCGTGAAAGGAGATGGTTGTTAGGGGAATTAAGCAAACCATAAATTCTACTTTGGCTCATCTCATATGTATTCAATAATGTCTATAAAATTTATATTATTAAATTCATATCAACGGCAAGGATTTTCATTTTTAGTATAAATAGTAGATAGTATCAAATAAAAAAGTTTGATATATATATATATATATATATATATAAGTTGATCGGAATTTAGTGATTTATATTCAACAAAACATAATTTATCATATTCTCAACATATTAAACCACCTGAGTGTATGTTCAAATAATACACTCAATAAATTCTCGTGACACTTAAGGAAAATTATGAAAAAGAAAATTAATAATTTTTTAATAATTACACTATAAGTATATAATTTTTTGAATTTTTCAATTAAATATATGAATTTTATTTTTTCATTTGAGTATATTAATTTTTTTACACTATCAATCAAATATTTTTTGTTTCGTCCAGCTTTCATCATTTGTTCCGTTATTGATAATATGTTTTTTTGTCTCACACTATTAAATTATGATTTTATCTTTTTATTTTTGAAAAAAACTTTTTCTCTCAAATTATTTTGTCGTTTTCTACTTTTTATATAGTAAATATCTAAATTTTTATTATATCCCAAAAGTAGAATATGACAAAATAATATTGAAGGAAAAGTTCATTCTAAAAATGAAAGGTGAAAATCATAATTTAATAATTTAGAACAAATGATACATTATCAAATAAAGAGCAATTGATAAAAATTAGATGAAAAATACTTAACTGATAATTTAAAAATTAATTAATATATTCTAACGATAAAAAATTAGTATACTTATAAAGTTATAATGCAAGTATCCTCTCTCTCTCTATATGTGTGTGTACCCATGCGTGCGTATAAGTTTGGTTAACTAGTGGCCTCCAAATTCTTAATTTCCACTGAAATGCTTCCCGTGAAATTGTAAAGTTCAAAAAGGGAAAAGTACTAGCTAGATGGCATTGTAAGATCCCATTACCACCAACTTAAGGAAACACTGGTTAGTAAACTCTTGTTTATTTTTCGCTAAATTAAACAATATAAAATGAATAACGAAATTGAACTCAGAAGTGTACACCAACTTTGATAGTGGCACGCCCGTAAATATATATAACTTTTTAACCATTTATTGCTCCTACGGATTCTTGACTTCGTGTTTTCGTGAAATGATCATTTTTTATTAAATAATAATAATAATAACTTTTTCTATTCGTTTTACTCCCTCTTTTTGACTGTAATAAAGAATCTATATTAAGTTCGATGGAACCATATAATTTTATCAACTAAATTCGTTTATGTCATCAACATTTAGACATCACCTAATTATTAATAGGTTAAATTGTCTAAACATTCTCTCAGCTTTTGGTCAAAGAAACATAGCTTTTTCCATAGAATTTTAGATAAAATTGTGCTCTTAATAGAAGACTATGTAATGGTTAATTTGTTAGCGGATAAAACCACGGAATACAGAGGGGCCGGGTGACATTTCCAAAAAATGATACAGAAAAAATATTAGCCAGGCTTCTGTCCTGTTTGGTGTTTAAAGATTGTGACAATAACAACATCTACTGAATTTTTTAAGAAAAAATGAAAATTTTCGAGCAAAATATCCTGTTTGGTGTTTAAAGATTGTGATAATAACAACATCTACTGAATTTTTTCATCGAGATCATTAATTAGTTTGAAAACTTTATTGTGTATGTAGTGATGAACAATAGGCTTTAGTACCGAATCAAACCGCATAATAAATAAATTAGAAACTGAGTAGATAGAGTGTATATATCTATCTCGAATTACTAGTCAAAGACCGCTTTAAAAAAAAAATTGCCAATCAAAGAGAGATTACTAAGGCGCCAATCAAGTACTTTTATAAACATTTGAGGATGGATTGGAATATATTCCTTTTTTTATTTTTTTAGTGACAGGGCAGGTTTTGCTTTACGATTGATAGAATGATAGCTAATGCCTAATCCCTAACGGAGCAATCAAAAGCCCTGAAATTAATTTTCCTTCGTTGGGTAGCCTTCACTAAGTTAAGAAAAAGGAGGCAGTGGTGGTGGTGGCCAATCCGCCGGTTGTGGGCTGAAGAGACTACTCGTCATCAGATGCTCACGGTCGGGGACATCATTGCTTTTCCCACGTGCCACGTCAGATCCTCATTGGGTCCTAGGCACAACACCTTATTGTCTACATTAGCCTACCAAAAATGTGTATGCCCCATCACTCTCTGATCTAGCTCTATGTACGTATATGATATGCTCACATTTTACAGCTATGTATCTCTCTATCTGGGTCGGTGAAAAAGTTGGTCTCACCAAAGGGTCCCCTCATGAAGCATGAGGCCAGGATTCATTTATGTTGAAGTTTTCATGGACTAAGACACATGCATCACCTTCATCTTCATCATATATGTGTGTGTGTAAATATATACACGCACACATATATGCCAATGTGTCACATCAAATCTTGTTTCATAGATGGAATCTCAATGTCACATCAAATCTTGTTTAGTAGATGGAATCTCAACCATTGATTATCCCACACGAATGTACGTCTCTTAGTGGAAGGGATATTTGGGCCATTAGTATTGATACCAATACCATGAATTGGTATATACATGATTTGATGCCTTATCATTGTTTGGGCCGTGATCAACCCCAACCACCACCCCCCCTCCCGGGCGCCGCCGCCGCCTCTTCTTTTGGAAGACTTAATAAAAGCTATTCGAAATAATTTCAAAAGAAAAAAAAAGGGTGCCAATGAGCTAGAGAATGATCTCTGTTAGAGATCGTTTCTGTAAATTACAAAAGAATACTATAAAGGTCAGAAAATATATTATATAACTTAATGCTAAAGTTATCGAATTTCAATACAATGCGTACGGGAAAGCAAATCAGACATGATCCAACTATCAGCAGCACCGACTATTCGTGCACCCAAAATGTCTTGATCTTTGCTTTTAACATGCATCTTTCCATCCAGTCAGAATGAGCTAGTTGTAATTATACGTATATTAATTACAGGATAGCTTCGGAATCCAAATAGAAAAGGAAATAAATTGCCTGATTTATTGAATTCCTAGTTCTAGGATCCTAGACTTTTATTTATTTATTATTATTGCTGTTGTTATTTTCTATCTCAAGCAGGTTTTCAAATCTTCAAGCTAAAAAATTTGTCGGACTTTTGCCTCCTACGATTTGGCATTAATTAAATTGTTTCATATGAAAGCTTTACCTCTTTATATCCCAAAAAGAAGGTTATAGTTGAACTTTCCAAATTGGAATAAGAATGTCATTAATTAATATGTTATTTGACCATTTTTTATCCATGTTTTTTAAAAATATCATTTTTTAAAATTGTAGATTTTTTATCAATGGGATTTATAAGGAGTATTGTAGTAAAATACATGAGATTAATACATTGACCATTTTTTTTTTTTTAACATTGAGGAAGTACCATATATAGTTCATGCCAAATTTATAAAGGCAAAATTCAGAATGGAAAAAAAAATTGTATTTTGCCTCCCTTTATGAAGGATTTGAAACTTTTTGTTTGCTCATATCTAAGCGCAAAATTCTTCCAAATTTCCTCAAAAACATTAAATTAATAACGGAACTAAAATAATGACATTGTTTCATAGGAAAAGTTATACCCCCATTTCTTTTATATATATATATATATTTCAAAAGCACTTCAGTATAAGAAATGAAAGATCATTCAAAGAATTTAACAGTTAGATTTTATTTTAGTATTAAATAAAAATCCTAGCATTAATTTTATTTCGGTGATGTGAACATATGATCTCTACACAATAATATGAATGAAAAGAGCCAAATTAAATTGAGAAATTAACGTGGTTAATTTATCCATGAAATGCGGTGCACCTTTATGGAAACTTTGATGAATCTGATAGTGCATGAATGTACTTGGATTTGTGAGTGATTGGTCGTTGAGTAATGTTAAGTTTGTCAAGACTCATATCATGACCGTTTTGATTTCAGATGTGGTCCAAAATATACAAGAGAAGAAGAGCAAAAAGGCTTGCTTAATTGGTTGCATTATTATGCATGGACATTGTCTTCACAACCGCTTTTCCCTTGAATAGTAGACACATCCTGCATTTTTGAATCGTTCAAGGCAGAGCTATGCCACCTTTTGAGGTGGCACCAAATGGAAGACTCTCTCTATCCATCAACACACTGTATTATTACCTAATTGCTATATATATATATATATATATATATATATATATATATATATATATATATCTTCAGATTATCCTAGACTCAACCCAAATGTATGTTTAGATTCATCTCCCACTATTTAATTTGATGTATAAGATGAACACAATTATTTAAAATATTGTTTTGTGTACATAAAAATTTAAAATGAAAACCATTTATTTATACAACTAAAGCTTCTTTTTGTTTTTTCAAATCAATCTTTTGGATTGGTATTCATATTCTTTATCCATACATCAACATGCACACATCACTTTCATCTATACATATATATTCAAGATATTAAAGATATTCTCCTTCTCAAGCAAGGAAAGTATATGAAAGAGCTTAGTTGACGCATGCGCGTAGACCATAGTGAATATATAACTGGGAGTGTGATAGTGATTTTTTCTTCCCTCGTACAAATGGAGTGTGAATTAATTTTGAGTGGGTGGCTGACTGATTGATTAAGCAGTGACCCGAATTTAAATGGTAATGAGCGATTGATGATGAGAAGAAAGGTACCGTCATGCAAGGAAAAAGTGGCATCAAATCATGAAAACAATTAATTAATAGAGATTGTGTGAGCTGTGCTACAATTGTCTTTCTAGTTGGCATCGACTCTACATTTTTTACCCTCATTAATTAATCTAAACTCTAAAACTAAAACCAGTAGATTTTTATTTAGTCACTAAACAGCGGTTGAAACACCCTCATGGATTAATTACTTCCTTTTTTATTTCATGATCTTATGCATAATTATGCACTTAAAGCCTTAAAAGTTGTACATTGTTGAATTTAGGAAATTAAATCAGCTTGAGAATTACTGTGTTTCTGTTTTTGGAGAATGAGCTGTCAGATAGCATAATTGATTATAAAGCACTTGCGATTATTGTAATTCTCAAGTCATTTAAGGTGTAATTCTGCTTATAAGTACGGAAGGGATATTAAAGATTAAAGCTCGATCCTCATTGCGTAATCATCATAGCTCAACATTGTCACCGATAAGGCTGAAGAAAAAGAAGAAACCGTGTCCCATATTTTCCATTTGCAAGATCTGTGGTCCACATGTGTAGTACTACATCTGCAACCAACACAGTTTCTTTGGTATCAGTATCGACTCTTTCGAAACAATAGACATTTATACAGTGCATGTGGTTGTGTGCGTGTCTATATATGACGAAAAAGTCTACATCAATTGAGATGGAAGTAGGGGTCATCATTTAGTTGTTTGATTTCAATTTTGATAAATTCAGCTTTATTTTTAGTTAATCAAACTCATAAAAATAAAAATCTAATCCGAATTGAAGTATTATTCAACTTTCAGTTTTCCAAACTGAAAATTTTGATTTTTTACTCTTTTTTTTTTTTTTGTGAAAAACTGATTTTTTTTAATATAAAAAATTATATGATTCTTGATTTCTTGAATGCTAAATTTTATCATAAGTTACATTGTCTGCATTCATTTGATACGTTAAAACTCTCGATTTTAGTCTTTTTCACAAATTTATTTTGAAAAAAGAAATACTATCCAAAGTTCCAATCAGTTAAAAAATAGTATCAAACGTCTAAATCAAATAATATAACCAATAAATTATAATTAACATAGAATTTAATTAGCAATAAAAAAAAGAGAAAAAAGAATAAAAAAGTAAATAAAGGGTTCAACTAATATGATGGTAATTTTATGATTGTTAATGTTATATTATACATAGATATCTAGATCTAGGTATACACACTACTACTATTATTATTATTATTATTATTATTATTATTATTATTATTATTATTATTATTATATGCTATTTGGTTTTCGGTAGAAATCGAATAAAAAATTTTAAAAACCAAACCAAATTAAATTTGGGTTGATTAAAAAAAAGGTTTTAACAAATTATAAAAATTGAATCGGAATATTTTTTAATTTAAACCGAAAAATATTTACTTTTAAACAGAATTCAATATTTATAGCCATTGACGATGTGATGACGGTATATATATATTTGCTACATGAGATTTAAAATTTAGAGTATGGATATATACATTGATCCAGTTCGAATTTCAATCCTAATCTTATCTGCTCATATTTGAATAAATCTACTCCAACGCTACAAGAAAACTAAAGTACCGAACTAAGTATATAGTGAAAATCCACAAGTCCTTTAGTGATCTCATTTATTTGAGCTAAGAGATTCGGACTAATGTGTTTGGTAAAGTAATTAAAGCAAGGTTAAAAATATGGTTATATTGAAAAAAAAAACTAAATTGATTCAATGTCATATTCCCACCACTACTTTTTAGTCCACCGTCAAAATTTTTAATTTTTCAAGCTAAAATCTTCATATTTTACCTAAAATCAAGCCCTAGCCCATCAATCTACACTCCTAACCTTAAAATCAACCATTGCCACCATTTTTTTTCACATCTTTCTAGCTAAAATCAAGCTCTAACACCCTAGCTACCATCTAACCTTTTATGTTTCTTTCTCCATCTATTACATCAAATACTCCTTAATCATCAAAACCCAAACCTAACATCATAAATCGATCGCTTTTCACTCAAAAAATCACTAAAACTTTAAATATCCACCGTCCATTGATTTGCACATATTCATTTTTTCGAGGAGTATTTTTAGTATAGACATAGTTATGTGAAAATCATATGATATTTTTTAATAATTTTACTAGAAAAAATTATAAAAAAGCATAGATTGAAAACTCACTTAAAATATAAAAATATAATTTATTTATTTATTTTAAGATATAATGACAAACTGTACATTTGTCTAATTATATAAGCACATAACGAGCCATTTTCCCCTAAAATTAATGCTAGACATGCTTTCAGCAGCAATTATATGCGTATTCGTGTGTTTCATGCATTGTTAAAAAATACAAATCGATTACTTCTTTTTGTTTATGTTCTTTCTGGCAAAATGTTAAATCGATCACCATCACCAGATTCATATATTTGTAACACCACACCTTAGATACAAAACATATGATTAATAATAAACTTTTCTAACATTAATGTTAATTGATTTTGGCCTCGCACCATCAACAATTGGGTCGCCATTAAAAAAGGAAGCAGACGTTGCATGTTTGTCTCTCAAGTAGCCCAACTGACCACCAGCCATGTGCTCTGAAAAGTTAGCACATTCTGGTATGTACTTGCTAACTTTATTATGTTCTAAAGATAGCGTTATGTTTTCTTCTATGATCATTAATTTCTTAGACAATCAACTTTATATTCTTCTAAGAAAGGGTCTAATTCATTCTCATTTTCCTTAATTACTCAAACATTTTCCTTGCAAAAATAGTATGACGTGAAAGTCTCAAGTTTTCAGCTAACAAGTAAGATAAATTTGATGCGTAATACTCATAAAAGGTAAATTTCATTGAAATTAATTTACATTAGATTTTGGAGAGCAAATTAATTTCAAAAGGTTGGTCAAATCACGTTAATTTCGTGATATATAAGGCAACGACACTCTAGGACTCGATTTTTCTCACGCCATATATATTGTGCTATCAATTTGGTGAAAGTTCAGATCACGCTATAAGTTCCCACAACTTCAATACTTCTCATTCATTTAAAAGTCAGTAAGATAAGCAGGGATTGTCCTAAGTTTTCTGCTTTGGCCCTTTCAAGCTTAAAACAAGTTCCAAATTTTAATATCTATTGCGTATGCTCAAAGTATAGCTAGATCTCTATTTTTGTCAGTAACATTCAGTGGTTACTTCCCAAGAAATTTGTTGTATCTATTGAAGCAGAAATGCCAATTATAAACCATGACTTTAGTCTTAAAGAGACTTTCTTTCTTTTCTTTGATATATATATATATAACATAAAGATTCTTTGTGGGTAGATGCGTTTTCGAGGGGAAAGTGATCGGTCCACGGCTAGTACAAAACTTCAAATAAACTGCGTTTCATCTCATTAAATTCTAGCATTTTTGCTTTAGACAACTCTACCCATCTCTAGTTTCCAAAAAGTTCCTATTTGCATGACCCGTAATCTTAAGAATTCTTATAAAAGTGGGACCATCCTTATACAGGGCACTACATTGGAAACTTTTTGAAACTATAAAGATAATTAAAAAAATTAAACAACGAGGGCTTGAATAGAATATTGCTAAATATATGAGGTTCGAACTAAAAAATTTATCTCAAAAACTTCTCTCCTTCCAAACTCTATTTTTTTTTTCCCCTCTCACTTCATATAGTCTTTCCGAATTTGATGATAAAATATACTATGGGAACGTTGTTCTGATTAATGGTGAATTCTTACACGATGCTACGTTATTTTACATCATTGCATGCGAAATTATAAATTGAGAACTTAAGATTGCAAAATATATATATCATAATTGAACTAGCAACAAGTGTATGATTAGCTTATTTTTCAGTAACTAATTGCATATATTTTGTAATCGAAAGTATAACACATCACAATATTACATTACTTAAGTGAGCAGCTTAATCGATCATATAAATAAAGCTCCATCAAAGTCAAGCCCATTTGATTTTGTATTTTTCAGTATTTCTAAAACAATTTTTATAAAACGCTTTTGAATTAAAAAAATCAAAATAATGATTTTTTTATGGGCTAAAAAAAATGTCAAAACACCCCAAAAAAACTAATTTCAACCCAAAAACATTTTGGTAAAGTATTGGGAACGGGCTCTAATTAGAATTGCTTTAGTATTGCGTATAAATACTCAAATTTAAAATGTATTTTCAGTTCACACAATTCAAACAAGCATTTAATCACAATATCGTACTCAAAAAATTCAGACTGATTGAGTCCGCATTGAACCCTGTGCTTCAAAGCGAGAACTATATACTATAAATGCGTCCAATTAACTAACCTTAACGCAAAACAGAAAAAAATCATTCTTAATTTCTTCTTTTGTTTCAACGAATATCTGGAGATGTCATTCTCCAAATATATTAAACAGATTCTGTCCCTATGTCCATCTTCTGAGGTCAGTCTCGCTTTGCCCACTTTTGCCCTGTCATTTCATTCTCTTATTGCAATTCAATTAAAATTAAGATTCCGCGTTTTGAATTAGCAGTGTTATTGTCAATCAATATCAACTGTATGAACTTGTATTGTTGTAAAGTACTGTCGGCTTCTACGTACGTTAAAATTAGCAACTAATACAAGAATTAAGAGTCGAGATATGAAATGAAATTAGAAATTAGCAAATTAAGTACAATAAAATCTTCAGAGGAAGAAATTAACAATGCTTACCAACTAATCCTAACCAGTAGCAACGTTAATGAAGCTTGTAGTGTGAACAAAGTGCATCTTTTAGTGCTTCTAGCTAGCTATTGTAACAAAAAATGCAACAATTATTGAGTACTTTTCTGATATCTCGAACTGCTGGAAACCCAAATGGATCTTCAAAACACTGCCAGCAAAATAAAAAAAATAATGTCTGGATCGAGAGGATCTAAGTTGCAGATCAAATCTTGATGATGATCATCTTGTATCTTCAACGTGTACGATCTTATAAAACTATAAAATTATAATTGTTTAAGGTTTGGTGGTGTCGGAATCTAATTCCCTATCTAATCAACGTTTGGTAGAATATCATCTTTAACTCATTTTCATGGAAAAAGCAAACCCTTCTTGTATAGATACATAGTTGGAAAGGAAACTTGTTTTGCAGCTTTTGCCACCCATTATTTTGTTCCCTTCTTGTCACCTCTCTTCCCCACACCTCTCCTTCCTCCTAAAACATATAGATAGTTATATCAAATCAATGCCCAATTAAAGATTACATATCCCTTCCTAACCATTAATCAATACTGTTAAATGTTCATGTGTAAAGCATGTAAGCTGTAAATCGATTTCAAGAAGCAGACAAATCTCTCTCGAAATGGGTTTCACGTGCTTATCTCGAGAAGGATATTCTTAAGGTTGGATTCCACATTATTTTTTTCAAACTGTTCAACGTGAACAGTTGTTAATTAGTTTTAATAAGTGAAGTTTAAACATTGAAAAAAAAAATAGTGGTCCATACTGCATTATCTTCTGCACCAAAATTTCATGGTGCTTTCACAACAAAGCAAATATGCAAGATCTATGTGAGACCCACGACCTCAATTATGATCCTCTAACGTTAGGTAATTAGAGGTTGCTTCCTTCTCAAATTATTTTCCTATTTACAATTTTATATATATATATATATAGTAGTTGAGCGTGAATAACATTTTAACTACAGAATTTTATTGCAGATGAATTTGGTCCACCAATATATTTCAGATATATTAAGTCATAATTAAACTTAGATTACTTCTTAATGATTAGATTGGTGTATGTAATATTTACCCAGATAAATTTTGATGCTGGATGAATTCCTTCAACGTAGAGTTTAATTCTATTGGATTGGATTTTGCTGCAGATTTAATTCCTAATAAGCAGCAAGGGAATTCAGGAGAAATTCAACTTTTCCAGAAAAAGGAATCAAGAGGCCATAATACCAGCTCTGTCATTTTATTCAAACCAGTTGGCCCATGAAAAGGCCGACCAACTGGTCCGTTACATGCGTTGACGGGTTCTGGGGAAAAAAAGGAAAAAAAAACAGTTTCGCTTAGAGTACTAGTTTTTTTTTTTTTTTTACTTACCATTTTAAGTTACGTATTTGACTAAATATGTCAAATTATTTTAATTCAATAATCCGTGTTATATTGCAGGTCAATCAAAATATATAAAATAAAATTTTTTAAAAAAATTCATTCAATTTTATGGTTTTTTTTAATCAAAATTTCATGTTTGATTAATTATTCATTATGTTTATCATAAACTTTCTACTAAACAAAAATATGATTTATTTTTTATCCAAATTCTTAACTTAAAACTTGTAATAATCTAAAAAATTTTAAAATTCATGGATTCCTAACAAAAAACTTATCTTGTAAATTGTTTTTTTCCTAAAAATCTAAGACAAATGATCTGAAAATCACTATTAATTTTATTCTAAAATTTAATTCCACAATCCATATATAGAGAAAAATAAATCATATTTTCAATAAATAAAATTTAAATAAAATAAAAATTAAAAATTAATTATATGACAATCTCATGAGAAATGATAGATTAAAGGAATAGATTTTAAATAATTAGAGTAATATGATTTGAAATGTATGTTTATTTTAAAATATAACAACATATCATATATATTTCTTTCTTGCTAAGATACGTGTTAAATTTTATAATTAACGATCGATTTGTCATATTGTTTTTTTGTAAAAAAACACCATAATAAAAAAATTAAATCAAATAAATTGCTGGAAAAAAAAAAAAGAACTGAGTTTGGGTGCAAGCAAGTTAAAAAAAAAAACAAAACAGACGACACTTGTTGGGCAGCAGATAAAGTGTCGTTCGTCTATAATTCCTAATGAACTTGAGCTGGTTGAAAAAGTCATCGGAAAATCATGTTTTTAGTTTTTGGATTTCTCAAATCAAAATTAAGCATTGTTTTATGTCCAAAAACACCTCAAAACTAATTTTAATACACATAAAATATACAAAAATTTAAATCAAACTCAAAATATTTTTAGATCTCAATCTACCTCTTCTGATCATATTATGACTTTTAACCACCACAAACAGAATTTCTTCTCTAAGATGAACAAGTTGAAAGTAAGTTGGGCAATCAAAGTGATTGGAACGAGTCTTATTATTCCTCCTCTCTCCTCCCTCCTCTCTCTTTGTTTCTCTCTCCTCTTAGCAGTCAAATACCGGATTTTAATGCAAATGAAGTTCTTGATCGAAATAAAAATAGCTGGAAGTTAGGATGAAAGTGCAGCATTAGCAAAAATTTGTGTATAGTATGCCTAAAGGGAAAAAAAAAAAAAAAAAACTTAAAAACCACCACAACACTTGCGTCTTAAATCACAAAATGTCACTTAGTCCCAGTAACATGTGATAATTACATTATCGTTGCACAAACGTTAAAATAATTACATTAGACAAGTACGTTGATTTTTAATATTTTTTCAATCAAGTATATAGTTTTATTTTTTTAGTATTTTTAACTTTTTTTTGAAATTGACTAGTAAGTATTTTTTGTCCAACTTCTATTAATTACCTTGTTATATTATGACATGTCATTTATCCCACACTATTAAATCATGATTTTACTCTTTCATGTCCCAAATTATTAATTTTGCTACACACAGATATATATATATATATATATATATATATATATATATATATATCCAAAACTAAGAAAAATGACAAAATAATTTGAAATGAAATTTTTTTCTAAAAAAAATAAAAGAGCAAAATCTTAATTTAGATTGTTTTAATCTAAACTTTTCAAATTAAATAAATGCCTAGAAATGATTTCCCAACTTCAAACATTGATTTTAGCCATTTTATATTAGCAGTTACCATGTATATGTATTTTTAAAACTACTTTAGAAAATCTAAACACAATAGGAGAGAATAAAAAAAGAAAGGATCTAAAAAAATTACATCAAAATGAAACTAAAGTTTTTTTTTTATATAAAAAAAAACATACTCTACATTTTATCAAGGATTAAAATAAAAATACAGGAACTATAAAATTTGTATTTTACTGGACACGAGTGAATTAATTCATTAGTGAATATTTCTTTTACTTTTCCACGAAGCCGAATTATTTCCCACGGTGAAGCATAAGAAATTGTATTTCAATTAGTATTCTGGACAATATGTCCATCCACGTATGAACAAAAAATATAAACTATAAGTAACAAGAGACGAGCGGACTTGACCAAATGCTGCAGAAAGAATACGTTTTTTCATTTATTATAATTTTCCTCAAATTATTTGTTTTTTCCTTTGCTTTTAGAGTTGAATCATTAAAAAAAAAAAAAAAATCTCTACAAGAGGTACTAGCTATAAGAATCCCAAAATTTTAGCGTCTTTTCATTGTAATAACACCTAATAAGATTTTAATCCTTCATTTGATTTGACAAGTTTGGATTAAACCACGAAACATGCATGTGAATTAGATATCGCAATTGACTGAATATAAAATGAATATTTATTTTATTTGACTTAATAAATATCTATTAAAGATATTTAATGGACATTAAAATATATAAGAATAAAAAAATATATATCCGTTAATATAGTTTTAAGGTATAGATATCCTCTTTTTATCCTATTAATATCCATTGATTTATTTTGTTTTTTTTAACATATAAAGATCTAATTGCATAAGATTTAAAAATAAAAATCAAAATATTTTCAAAAAAATTTAAGCACCAAAAAAATATAAAGAAATTAAAAAAATGTAAAAAATTAAATTTAATGACAAAAAAACTTTTTTTTAAATTTCATAAGGATTAAAATAAATATTTTTGATAAATTATTTTTTCCGGTACTAAATAAACGATAAACTAATGTGTATAGAATAAATATTTATATAATAATATCTTAATAGATAATAAATATAATATTATTTTTATAAATATGATAAAAAAATTGAATTAATGGATTGAGTATTCGTTCATTATTATCTCTAACATCAATTTTGATTTATCTTGAAATATGATAAAACTTTATTTTTGTAGGGATTAAATAAAATTGAGTTTTTCAAAAGGGTATGTAGAAATGTTTTTCCCTTATGCAGAAATGGAGGTAGAAACGAAAAACACAACTCTCATTCCATAAAGAACTCCAAACCTAATTACAGTATTTTTAATCTTTTTTTATTGTTTTTGTTCTTTTGTCAAGCTATGGTAAAATTTAGACATGAACTTATATTTACTTTTGCATCGTTACCAACTTCTGTTTATGTGTCGACTTTTAAATATTATATTCTAATTTAAAAATTGCTAACAGTAAACCCAAATCCAATGGGAAAAATGATTTTTTTTTTTTTCCTCATCCTGTTCTCGATAAACAGAGAGCGAAGATGAGATTGTGTAACCCAACATGAATCCGCACGCTGTCGTCTAAGGACTTTTACCTGGTTGAAAGTGGACTCAAGAATCCGGCCCATCTACAACATCAATCAAAATCTAAAGCAAACTCAATCATTTAAAACAAGAAGGTCCCTTTACATAACTTTAACAAACGGGCTTGGGTCGAAACTAAACAAGACGCAGAACTCCTTTAACCCGAACCATACTGGTAGCTGGCGAATTGAAACAACGGCAAAAGAAAACCTTGCCAGACCATGTGAATTGAAAATATGTGGAAGAGTAGTAACACGTAAACATACACTCTCCATATACTAATATTTTCCTCCGGAATGGAAGAGGCAATCAGCAGAGGCTGGAGAGGAAAACCCTTGCGAATATTTAACAGCAGTGAAACTTAATTAGCAGTGAAATCTTATATTTAATCATCTTTGTTTTCTTCTGGTCTATAAAGTTTCACCTTGCGACTATTTATTGGTTGCATTGGTCTTGCGTTTGAATCTGAGTCCTGCAAAATGTTTAATCAAATGATCATCAGCATGTGCAAAAGTTGAAGAATCTGGTTTAGTCAACTAAATAGTATCAAATTTATCGATAGGGTATTCATCACAAAACTTGGAGTTGAAAAATATATTTATGTAAGGATCTAAGACACGAAACTTACATCATGAACAGCTACACGAAGCAACCTCACTTGTTCTCTAGCAACAGTCATCACCTAACAGAATATAATACGCAGTATTTAGAACAAAATTGCATCAACAATTAAAAGAAAAGAATTTGATATTATATTCTGATTAGGACGTACAAACCTTTCCAACAATGGTCCACGCCACATTTTCAGTGCAAGGAGGAGTTGTGAGTGAGCCAATGTATCTATAATACTTTCTGCTTCCTATCTTGATGTTCTTCGGGTCAACTACACCCACCACTTTATCTTGCTCTCTGGTGCCGGCGACAGATTGTAAATGATCTATCAACTAATCAATCAAAACAATCCAAGCACACTTTTTCACTATTTTTGTATTATAATAAAACATGCACATTAGATCAAAGAGATCAGTTTTGTGTGGATAAATATTTGCTTACGGATGACAAGAAAGAGTCCGGTCTTCCTATCTTGTACATAATCCCAACAACAGCAACCTTTCCGTCTAGGCTTTCATGAACCATGTGCGCCTCTAAATCAAGCCTATAATCACATATGAAAGATTTGTATTTTGAATCATCAATTAATTGTTATTGCATTTAAATAAATTGGGATATATGTAGGAGACGAGAAACACCTCCTGCCATTGATTGTATGTTCAGAAGGTGAATGCCAATGACACTGTTTGAGTACATATTCACTTCCATTTATTCGAATATTTCCTGCACCACCTTCCCAGCTCAACTGCAATAATTTATAAAGTAAATTTTCTCAAAACACTACAAAAAACCCATCAAATAAGTACATAAATTAACAATGGATAAACATCGTCGTTAAATAACAATGAAAATACATTACAAACAAATGCTTCACGTCGGATGTAAGACTTTTCAGATAGCTGTTTTAGATCTATTTAATGATGGAAAAAAATTTCTACCGTTGAGGAAATAGCAATCATCATTTTAGCTACAGAATCCATATTATTGCTAATCCGTTACTAATATCAAATAACGCAGGATTTTCAATATATAGTAATGGAAAGTATGTCGTTAAATACTGAAATTCTGATAGTGAAAGCTATGAGTGAAGATAAAGGAAATTGGGATTAACTAGTACTATGCTATTGCCATCTAATTTATTTTGTAATTCTACTTGGTTGATATATTTTCTTGACTAGTAGGAATATTACCATCATATCATGGCCCCTATTTCTAAGAGTAGAATTGGAGGGCTTGTAGCTTCTATTGAGTCTCCCTAAATGAGACATTATTTCGACTCTCCCATTGTGCAGATCGATAGGAGACTGCATAGATCCATCGCTACATGCACTCCACTCGGGGTGAATCTCTCCCCATCGAGCTGGTCCCTTCTCACCCTTTCTATCATAATCAAACTCTCTCTCGTCGTCTGCAACATGATAAAAGAAAAAAGAAACAGAAACGAATTAAGTAAATATCTAGGCTATCGGTAAAAGAATTAGTTGTAAAACTCATTTGCTCTGCTCTAGACAATCCGTTCACCTAATTTTGAAAATCAAGAGAACTGATAAAGATCAACAAAATAAATGTAAGACAAAATGCATAAATACCTAAAACTAAATTTATTCACCCAGAACAATTTGCTAGTTTCTAATAAAGAAGTTCTTGAGCAATAGATTATATATAAAGGCCGCGAAAAATATTGCTTTATGCGTTTCTCCTGTGATTCACATCAATTTGTGTCTCTGTGTGTGTGTGATGCCATTCATAATAATTGCAGCCTCTCACCAACTTCTTGAGATGTTACCGGAGGGATATACAAAACATGAAGGATGAAGAGAGCGACGAGGAGGGGTTGGATTGCTAGCTTTCTCATATCTTTGCTCAAAAGGTTTATTCTCACTTTGAAGATATGTATCCTGAGGAGCTTGTCTACTGACTACTAATCATATAGGTTTCAGTAACTAAGTATACCATATTATGCTTAGTCGGAAAAAACTACACACTTTAATGGCATTTTCGATTCCTGCCAAGTGTCATTTTTCTTTTCGGAAATTCAGATAAGAGCAAAAGCTCTAGGAAGAAACGATTTCATCCTACAGACCCTTCTAATTGCAACCCTACAAATATCCTCTAGAAGGATTCTCAAGCAGCCAATAGGGTATGCATAAGAAGGCAGTATTATTTTTTTATGAGAAAGAAAATTGTCAACCAATTATTTTTTTTGTTTTTTAATGGAGAAGAAAATTGTCAACCAATATATATATATTTTTTAATGGGAGTCGACCTATATTTCTTTGCAATGACGTATATATTTGGAGCCATTAGCTTTCATCTATATATATATATTGTAAGGAATCTGGAGGAAACTTCAGGACGTGGTCTCGTTTTGGTATTTATAAATTTGTTGAATTTTCAACACGCATTGATGTTCTATTTGATAATCAAAAGTCTATGCATGAAGACGAATTGTGGCATGAATAAAGAACTGCGGATTTCTAGCGGGTGGGAGTTCGGCAGTCTGGAAAATGGAAATCATACAGGTAGACCTAGCCTTATTATTTTTGTATCAGGGAACAACTTCTTCTTCTTCTTCTTTTTTCGTTGTCGTTTCTTTTTAAAACCACTTTTTTCACTTCTCCTTAACTCAGACCTAAATTATTGGAGTGATGTTCTGGCATAGCCGTGTATCTCTACTTGCATATTGTTTAGTGTATGTTATGGGTTTAGTATACGAACGATCTTAGCATAATCTATAAATAGATGAAATAGAAAATTGATTGAATTGAAAAATAAAAATAAAAAGGAATATTGACCAAATTGCAAAGTGTACGCATGTATGTGACGGTTAACAAATAAAAATAAAAAAATATATTTTTCTGTCCTTTTGTGGTAATTGACACACACACACATATATACATAAGAAAGAAAGATTTGGCTTTTTTTAGAGAGAAAGATATAGATTAGTAGAGGGAAAAAAAAAGAATAAGGTTATTTATTTATTTATTATTTTTAAATAAAAAATAAGAATTTTTTGATGCATTAAATATTGAAGTTGTTTCTAGCATTGATTTTTAAGTACTGCAGATCATAAAAAATTGTAGTGTTCAAGGTGTTGATTTTATATAATATTGTACTTTACATAAATACAAAGATTTTAGATTTTTATAACACTATAAAAAATTCAACTTCTACCGATGAGTTTTTCTATTACTATATGTTAAAAATTTGTCATCAATCCGTCTATATTCCGTTGCTGGTTCCAACGGACGCTATTCTATAATTATTTGCTAACTATTTAACGATGGAAGTTTATCCATCTCTATTTGATGGTCTTTTGTAGGGTAATGAGAGAAATTTTAGCTATATTTTTACTTTTAAAATTGACAAATAAACTTGATTGATTGTATTATTTATTTATTTATTATTATTATAATGGATTATTTTTTTAGTTAATCTCGTGATTTTTTCTCTCTATAGTAGAGAGGAATTTTCACATAAATATGATATTTTTGTGATTGTACTCTAGTAATTCATTTAATCTATGCTCTAGATCATTACGTGTGTTTTTGACTTGATAATTATTTTCTCACAATGTTTATTTATATGGAGTGGGATTAAATTTTCAATATTGATATCATAATTTTGATTGGAATATTTATGTACGATAAATGAAAAAGAGTTAATTAAAAAATCATAATCAAACTAACTCGTTTCAAATTATTCGATTTGAAATTCAAAGATGAAGAAATTATTTTATTATTATGATTTGTTTAATCTCATTGAATTTGGCGAAGCCAAACCAATTGGCAACATTGGTGATGCTTGAAAAAAATAAGTATAGACAAACTATCGAAGCTCTTAGATAAGGAATGGATGATAGCGTGTTTCACTATGCATCCAAAAAGACAGTTGTCCAAGAACTATGGAAATAATTAGAGAGTTTGTATGAAAAGAAAATTGCACAAAATAAAAAAAATTTTATTAGGAAAATTGTGAATTTGAAATATATAGATGAAAGGTTTATTGTTGAACACTTGAGTTACATTCGGGATTTAAATGAGTTGATAATCATAAAAATAGTATTAGATGATAAGTTACAAGCACCATTGCTACTAAAAACTTTACTAAATAGCTAAAAGACTTTAGTTATTATATTTGTTAATTTTGCTCGAAAGTTGTTTTATCACTATCTATAGCAAAAGATAGCTTGTTCAACGGAGAAATGAGATGAAACGAAATGATAAAAGATGATGCACAAGCTCATGTCATAGAGAATACGAAGATGAGTAGGAATACATAATTTAGTGGATACGATAAATCTAAATATAGATCACATTCCAATGATAGTTTCAAATGTTATCAATATAAGATAGAAGGTCATGTCAAAATAAATTGCAATGAATGAAAAAAGAATAAGAACATTTGAAGGATCATGTGAAAGATAAAAAGAACGCTATTGTAGTATTAATTTCGATTGAGATACGATTGTGTTCTTGTATGGAAATGATAACTCGTAATGTTGTAGATCTTATATGTTTTTATAGCTAGCATGAACTCTTGACATTGAATCGAGATTTTTCCATCATAGATTGGAGGAGGAGACTTGCAATATTCAAGCTACAAATCCTGTGACCTTAGCTAACCCATTAAGAAATTAAATAGGAAAAGAATTGAAGTGAAAAATGTAATAAAAAAGAAGGACCAAGTTGTAAAGTGTGTGCATGTGTGTGGCCGTTAATAAAGAAAAAAGAGAATTTTTTTTTTCTGTTTTGTTTTGTGATAGCTGACACTTGCAATATATATAGATATAAAAGAAAGATTTGGCCTTGTTTTTTTATAGTTATCCAGAGAAAGAAATAGAACGATAGCGAGAGAAAAACAAAGTTTTTCAAGAATTTCTATAATTAAAAACAAAGATTTTTTTAGCGTTTTTCATGTAGATTTGGTATTTTATGATTGATTTAATTTATTCTTTTAATTATTGCTTGTTTGTTTTACGTTATTTGTTTTTTATAAAATTTAATTTATATAGAATGAAATTAAATTCCCAACACATATCAAGTTTTGTATTAAAGTAATAAAATCTTATTGCACGGAGTTGACTTGATTTAGCAACTGCCCTAAAAAAATGAAGAAGTAATTTTAGTCAAAAAAGAAAAAAAAAGGACATCTGTTCATTATTGGACATGCTCTCGATAATTTAATAATTAAGACACCTTTTTGAAAATGGAAGTAAAAACAATTAAATAGAAATGTAAAAGTAGAGAAAGCTGATTGAAATAGAGACATTTAACTTGAAAATTTATATAAATATAGATGCTGAATTTATTTTTTGAAATTTAAGAAAATGGTTCCCATTTTTTATTAATTTGGAAACAAAAAAAAAAAGTCATCTTAATTTTATCTTATGTTGAATATGTCCTTTCAAAAGAAGGTTTGCATTCCTACTATTGTATTATGATGTATGCAATATTGTAGGATGTTTATTTTTTTATCACTTACTTCACTCTTGTACTTTAATTTTCTATCAATAAAATGTTTTATCGGTTTTGTTTTAAAAGTTTGAAAATGATACGAAACAGTCCACGGGCCATTGAAAAACCGAAAGCCATTTCACGGTAAGAAAATGAAAAATGAATTTATGGGCTTAAGAACTCTTTACACAATAAACAGAACCTACATCAGCTAGACGGGCTTACCAAGGCCCAATCCAACTGGGAATAGAAACGGAAGAGGACTGGCCGAAGCAGATAAAATATCAAACAGTGACAACGTGAAATCCATGAAGGCAGAAAAATATTTTGGGGATTTTGATCCTCCATTGTAGAGTTGGCAAAAACACTCCTGGGTTCAATATTTACTTTTCTCCTGACAGTAAAGCGGAAATGGGAGAATGATGAGGTCTAGAGACGCGCCGAGATGGCAATGACTCTAGGGCGGCGACGGCGGCTGTAAGAGCAACCGCCACCGCCCAATTTGGTGTCTGCGTGGTAGCGGTGCCTGGAATTTAGAGTGAGAGAAATAAATTAAAGGTGGTGGTTTTGGAGAAGGAACCTGCACAGCTGCATTACCAAGTTGCTTCTGTTGCCAATTTTTACTATTTCCAGTATAGCATGTATATAAGAATATATATAATGCTGTAGTAAATTTTACCTACTTTCTCGTTCACGACAAAGAACTAAACAGAACTATGGTTTCTAGAGTATTTCAGCACCACAATAATCAATGTGCTCCAAACTATGTTATCCATATAATTCTCCATCAGTATGATGGTTGTCTTTTACAGTAAATTGAGTCCCATGGTTTGAAATCAAAGTTGCATGTCTAGATGTGTAAGAAGAGAAGAAAAATTGATTTGATGGTGAAAACATCTCAATCACAATTAGAGATATGTTACTCATCTAGGCCCTTAACTTTATTTGTGCTCTGCTTGGTTTTATGTGAGACTTACCATAGAGCTCTAAGGATTCAATTGATCGAGTAGGGTCCTTCCATTTTCTTTCTCCGATGATCATGATTATTTATGCTTTGATTGATAGCTAAAAAAAGGGTCACGGTTTTTTTTTTTTTTTTTTCCATTTAAGGCAAAACAAAAGAAACTAGGGGGACTAAAAGAGACGAAAGGATATTGAGAGCAAGGATTTAAGCCGTGAAATCTCATGACATTATTTATAAGCAAACACTTTTGTTTATTCTTTTATTTATTTTGAGAATAAATTTAATATCTTCTTAATTGATCCAAATCACTGAAAAGAAAGAAACATGGAAAGTTCACAGTTATCTAATACGCACCTATCCACTCAAATCTCTCAAACAAATCAAACAGCAACTAGAAGAAAAAAGAAAAATCGCCTTTTTCCTATTTAGGTGCGTTTGGTAAATGAAGATGGATGTTGCAATTTGCAAGTGATTACTCCCTTCACCCTTAACCCACAAGGCCCAAATATGCACAATTATGGGCCTGATTGGTAAAACAAAAAATCTGAACTAATGGGCTTAAGGACCCAACCCAGTCCCAAGATCAATTCGAACATGGAGCATATAAGCGCAATCTCTAATTATGAAAATGGTCTCTCCAGTTCAGGTTTCCGTTTCAGCAGAATGAGTGAACGAGTTTCAATGGAACCAACAAGAATGGAGATTTGTCGCCTCTAAGTTCAGTTAATGGTGACCGTGGAAGCAGAATCAAGGTGAGCCTTAATTTTCATTGCAAGTCGAATCGTTCATGTAGCTGCAGTCTGACGGAGATGAAATTTTTTAAGTGCAGTTTTTCTTTCTTTACTAGAAGTGAAGGGGGAAGCGCTGTGAAATGAGACGAGGTTAGGATCTTTGTGGTGAAAGCAATGATTTCAGGCGGTGGTGGCTGTTATAGCATCGGTCACCGCCGAATTTGGTGGAGAAATTATGCCAGAAGCGCCTCTAACTGGAGCACTTTGTAGGATCTCTAGAAATGCGAAAATTTGACTTCGGAGAAGAAAGAAGAAACATGCAACAGCAGCAAATTGTTTCTGGAAATCGATTATTTCCATGTAGCTATAGTTAATAATATATACCGTTGAAATTATAATTATAATTTTATAGTTAAGTTTGACAAAGAGTCGATTATAAAATAGGTTTTACTGATTAATGCATTTTTTGAATTTTTTAATTGAATTCGCTTTTTTTTTTCATGCTTATTAAGTAACTCTATTTTTCATTTTGTTTACTTTGTTACGACTTTTTTATTTGTGAGCTGACATGAAAAATTAGATTTCATAATACTTAAAATACTCAATCAATTAAAAAAAAAACAATAGAAAACTTCAATTAAAAAATACATGAACTAAATTATTATTTTTAAAAAACGTCATATTAAATATGGTCAAACTCTCATATGTAGGACCCCTTCATTGTATAAAAATAAAAAGTAAGTTAATATATATATATATATATATATATATATATATATATATATTAATCAAAATAATAAAATATATAAAAGATGAAGGTAATAAAAAATAAAAATAAAATACAAATATGTTGATCAAAATTACAAGTGTGAAAAGAAACAATTCGCCGCAGCTGAAGAAATATCTTCAACGGTCCTCTTAAAGATGCGTCAAATTGCAGAGTCTTAGCTTGGCACCACTGTTACAGTACTCACGGTCCCTGCCTACTTCACTGATTCTCAACGGCAGGCCACAGCTGATTCAGGCAAGGTTGCTGGTCTCCATGTCATATGTATTATTAATTAACAAGCTCACTGCTGTTGCAATGGCTTATGGTCTTAAAAAGAAGACAACTAGTGTTGGTGAGAGGAATGTGCTGATTTTTGACTAGGACAGTGGTACTTTTGATGTCTCCCTGCTTACCATTGAAGACGGTATCTTTCAGGGGAAGGCCACCACTGGAGACTCCCAATTCCCACCTTGAAGTGAGAACTTTGATGACAGAATGGTGAAACAATTTGGCCAGGAATTTAGGAGGAAGAAGAAGGAGGACATCAGAGGAAATGCCATGGTCTCAGGAGGTTGAGAACTGCTTATGAAAGGATGAAGAGAATGTTTCATCCTCTGCTCAAGGTAACATTAAGGTTGATTATCTAGGTCAAGGTATCGATATTTACTCCGCCAATACTCGTGCAAGATTTGAGGAGCTAACGCAGACCCATTCAAAAAGTGTTTGAAGTTGGTGGAGAAGTGTGAGGATGCTAGGATGGACCAAAGCAGAATGATATTTTTCATGTTGGTGATTCCATTAGGATTCCCAAGGTGCAGCATATATTGCAATGTTTTTTTCAATGGGAAGGAGCTCTGCAAGAGCATCGATCCAGATGAGGTAGTTGCCTGCCGTGCTGCTGTTCAAGCTACTGTCTTGAATGGGGAAGATAATGACAAGGTACAAGATCTGCTGCTTTTGGATGTAACTCCTCGGTCCCTTGGGATAGAGACTGCTGGTGGCATTGTGACTGTTTTGATCCCAGAAACACCACCATTCCCACCAAAGAGGAAGGTTTCTACTCAGATGATCAACTTGGCTTTTTGATCAAGGTTTATGAAAGAGAGAGCACAAGAACTAGGGACGACAACTTGCTGGTTACGTTTGACCTCTCGAGCATTCCTCCAGCACCCAGAGGTGTTCCTCGGATCAAAGGAACCTTTGATATTGATGCAAATGGCACCTCGAATGTGTTAACTGAGGATGTGACCAGTGGTTAAAGGAACATGATCACAATCACCAATGAAAAAGTCAGGTGGTCCAAAGAAGAGATTGATAAGATGATCCATAAGGCTGAGAAGTGCGAGGCTGAAGATGAAAGGCACAAGAAGAGAGTTGAGGCAAAAATTGTGTTGGATAGTGCCTAGCTACAATATTAAGAAGAGTGTTAGAGATAGTAATATCAGTTCGAAACTGGTTGCAGATGACAAGAACATTAAAGATGGTATTGACCAGGCCATTGTTGGCCGAACAGGAACAAGTCTGCAGAGGCAGATGAGTTTGAGGATATGTTGAAGGAGCTTGAGAGTGTCTATCATTGCCAAGATTCATCGGGTGTTGGCATATTACAACATAAAGTCCCTCCATTTGATGGCAATGATACAGGTCCTACCGTTGAAGAAATTGAGTAGGTACGTTTGTTGATTTTTATGAATATGATGATGGAGTAATGGTGCTATATTGTTCAGCGCATTACTTTTGTTCCTCACTTTTTCTCTCTGGTTCTTTTATTGCTTGCTTAAGTAGACTATTAATTAATATAAAACATGCAACTACTCATAATGGAGCTAATTACCATTCACGACAAGAAATTCTAGAAGTACTCGAGCAGGCATCCACAACTGCAAGATGAATTTACCACATCATTCTTGACATAATTTCTGTCATCCTGCCTGGATTAAATTCAAACATGCATTGGTGCCATTGTGCATGGATAAGGAGAGAGGGAGGACACTTGATAACTAAATGCTTGCATCAAGTCTTACTGTAATTATCATAAAATCCACCCATATTTAGTGTTTGTTACTCATCATTCATCAAGGTTTTCCTGTTATTTGATTGCTGCTTAAAAGTGTTCCAAGGTTGGTTGAGAGACTCCAAAATCAAGGCTACAATATTGAATTAAAATTACTACTTTCTTCTTTATGTTTATAATTCAGAGCTGTCGAAATTGGTGTACCTAGGTTGATTTCAATATTCTCTCTGTTCCTTTTTTCTTTTCCTCTTAAAGTCATGCTTTTTTGATTTTGTTGCAAGGTAAAGATCAAAGAAGCTTACTCAATAAACCGACAGGAATACACATAGAGAAGATTAAAGAGTGAGGAATGAGCATAAATTTGGACGTGAAAAAAGGCTTAGATCACAAATTAAAAAGGCCTGCTGAATTACCCACCTAAGATCGATGGACTAATATCGTGCATGTTTTGCTGTTGATTTATGACAATCCGATCAATAAAAATAACAATAGAGTTGATCTAACTCGCGAGTTTGGTTAAAATTGTCTTTCATTACGTTTCAAAACTCTGACATTATATCTCAATTCAAAAGATTAGAAGAGAAATTAGTGTGGTTAGAAAAAAAAAAGTAAGAATGATGAGATTTAACTCATAATTGTTTGATTATCAATATTTTGATGTCATATTAAAAATTATTTTAATCCAAAAATTTAAATTATTATGTGAGATTTTAGTAATAATTTTATATTGCTCAGTATATTTATAGTTAATGCTAAGAATGGGGTAAACGAAATCAACATTTACAGTTACAAAATCTGCGGACATTAACTTGTTCTCTTAAGATATCCAGTAAAAGCACCAAGACTAGAGCCTCAAGTGAATCCTTCTGAGCATAAAACATTAGAAGTGATATGATAATCGTAGAGCTGCAGTGGCATCAGAAGCAGCAAACTTCAAGTTTGGTATATGGCATAAATTTTCATGTGCACTTGTTGGTGTCTCAAAGGTCAATGAACGCACGATGTGGGCAATACTCCTTAGTAGAACAATATGAAACAAAAAAGTATCAGGATTCAAGGTTCTATACCAAGCTTTCCTTTGCAGAAAAATATGCAGGGCAAAAGAAATTACAAAACCTTCATGTCTATAGTGAAATGGAAAATAAATAGCCTAACCTGCTATCCTAGAGTACAGTTGCAACAGCTTTTCGTTTTTCAAACAAGAGCCACAACGTTATTTATCTTTCGATCAGGCATAATTGCTAACAAAAGTTGGTTAGTTTTCAAAATGGCATATGTTGTTACTGTGCATGTCTTCAAATAATGCAGAAATAAACTCAAGCATTTCCAATTAACAGGGATTAGGCCAGTTCACAATGAGTTTAAGGTTCGATGCTCTGGACTGGTTCTAAGCTAATAATAAAACGACCAAATTGTAATAATAGTCGCCCAAACTTTATCTCTAAACCAAATTACCTCCTGAACGTAAAACATTCCATACTTTCATCCTTAAACAAAATTAATTTTACAATGTGGTCCTTCCCATTAGTCACATTGGGGTTCCACCAAATATTATCCAACTCTACCCTTTTTCGTACTAACCAATATAACCTCATTTAATGTGTTCCTTAATCGATAAAATTCCATAATATGCAACAGCAAAATAGCTCTTCTTTACGTTTTTTTTTAAAATACTATTTAAAGTGATTTTTTACTTTATGTATACATGTTTTTTTTTTTGAATAATTGAAATTAAGTATAATAGTAAATCTCATATATTACGGATTTTAGCTTGCCAAGTTGATGCTGCTATTCATAACAAAACAAAAAATATTAATAAAATATGAGCAGTAATACCTTAGTTCCATAGCTTTTCTTATCACATACTTTACATATGAATTATTTAATTTTATATTTAATAAATCGTTAAATTTTTAATCATTTTCAACTCAATCTGTTTATATTTTTATTGTTGAATAATTCTCCAACCCCAAAAATAGCAATTTGTCCACATCTTCGTCTTTAAAGACAAACACTTCCAAATTTCATATAAAGCCACCTCTCATACAATTTTGAAACAATCCCCGGCAGCTGCAGTGCTTCTCAATAGAAGCTTTTTGATGTTTTCTAGGGCCATTTCATGGTCACTCATGGTAAAAATTGATATTCTAGAGTTGGTTGATGGACGAAGCACGTTGCAAGAAGGCTAGTGTTGGAGGGTGGGATTTTGAGAATTTTTAGCTCAAGGTATTATTTGATTTAGGGCTAAAATTCATTGTGTACTACTACAATTAGGCTTAACAAAACGGATGACATGTTGCCTAAGTGGTCAATAAAATCCAGGTTGTCAATGACGAATTTCTCACACGACAAGCCGTTTGCTATCAGGCATAGTCGTCGACTGGTCAAACGAAAACGTGTATCGTTACGGACTTTCAATTTAACAACCACGCGAGAAAAATCAACAAATCCAGACCGTCAACAAACCCTAGAATCAACGGTCCAGACACACACGCCTCTTCATCGAACATTCTAGAACTGAACTCCCAAACAAAGCCCACTACAAATACCCGTTCAACCCTCATAGCCGCTCACTCATTATTTATCTGTTAACATAAAACCCTAGTTCTCATTCTTTTAATTTCTTAGCAGTATATTTTTTTAGATCTAGTAACAATGGCCGGAAAAGGAGAAGGACCGGCTATCGGTATCGATCTAGGCACCACTTACTCGTGCGTTGGTGTTTGGCAACATGACAGAGTGGAAATCATAGCTAATGATCAAGGCAACAGAACAACACCGTCTTATGTTGCCTTCACCGATACAGAGCGTTTGATTGGTGATGCTGCTAAGAATCAGGTCGCCATGAACCCAATCAACACCGTTTTTGGTTAGTGTCTCTTGATGTTGACTTTTTCCTTAAGATCTGGATTCAAAGTTTTGATTTTGTTTGTGGATTTTAATTATGACTAATGATTAGCATATCGGGTGTTATTATGGACTGTGGATTTATAAATCTGCTAAGGGAGGTTTTATTTTGATATAATGTGCCATTCCTTTCTGTATATGTGATATAGTTGATGGACTAAATATTCGGAGCCTTTTGTTTTTAATTAGTCTAGAAAGATCTGGAAAACGATTTCTGATTTATTAAATTTGAACACAATATAATCATTTTTTAATATAAATTATTTATTACACAATTTCTATAGCTAATTTGATAGTATAAGCTGATAGCTAGTAGTTGTTGGATACATGATCTAGTAGTTTAACCTGTTGCATGATACCTGTTACTTAATTGGTCTTAATGTTTGTCGTCCTTTATAGAAGGAAAGGGGTGATTATTAATTGTTCTTGTTTCATGTATTGCAGAGTATCTGTTAATTAAGTTGTTCTAATGTTTGATTTGGTTATGTCAAAATGGATGTGGTTATTAATTGTTGTTGATTTATAAATTGCAGATGCTAAACGTTTGATTGGTAGGAGATTTAGTGACTCTGCAGTTCAGAGTGATATTAAGCACTGGCCCTTTAAGGTTATCCCTGGTGCGGGTGACAAGCCCATGATTGTGGTAAACTATAAAGGTGAAGAGAAGCAGTTTGCTGCTGAAGAAATCTCTTCAATGGTGCTCATTAAGATGCGTGAAATAGCCGAGGCTTATCTTGGCAGCACTGTGAAGAACGCAGTGGTCACTGTCCCTGCTTACTTCAATGACTCTCAAAGGCAAGCCACAAAGGATGCTGGTGTTATTGCTGGTTTGAATGTCATGCGTATCATCAATGAGCCCACTGCCGCTGCCATTGCTTATGGTCTTGACAAGAAGGCAACAAGTGTTGGTGAGAAGAATGTGCTGATTTTTGATTTGGGTGGTGGTACTTTTGATGTCTCTCTCCTAACAATTGAGGAGGGTATCTTTGAGGTGAAAGCCACTGCTGGAGATACCCATCTTGGAGGCGAGGACTTTGACAACAGAATGGTGAACCACTTTGTTCAAGAATTTAAGCGAAAGAACAAGAAAGATATTAGTGGAAACCCCAGATCCCTTAGGAGGTTGAGAACTGCCTGTGAGAGAGCAAAGAGGACTCTCTCGTCG